TAAATAACCGTTTATAACGTGATTTTAAATAACGATACCGTTGTTATGAACTTTTACTTCTTGACCTTTTCTATTCTAAGAAATTTATAAATAATTATAGTCAAATTATTTTTTTTTAAAAAGGAAGAAAGGAAAAGAAAATAGGGAATTTAAAGGATAATATAATTTTTTTTAAATAAATAATGTTATAAGAACACTTGGCATGTGGCGCTCATCATTCAACTACTCTTTAGTTGATCCCGGATATGAAATGAATTCGTTTCATTCTTAATTTCTAGCATGGCTATGAGTCATATTTCTACATGTTATGAAATGTATAAGCACGTTCACCTTGCATAATATATTTGTCATTTTTACATTTTATTAGAATATCGTGTATGCACTGAAAAAAATAAAATAAAAAAATACTGATAATGCAAGATTAAACATAATTGAAATTATAATTGTCACGTGATTAGGATGACTATGAATTACCCAACCTACCTCCAGTGTTCTGGAATAGCCATTGCGAACTACATAAATTATGAAGTAAGATGGGAGTGAACTTTTGTTGAACACGTTGAAGATTTCTTTTCTAAGTAGGAGCGAGCAAGATCATTCGGATATAATGAGGGGACAATCCTCTCGATATACCACCTTATAAGCATTATGCGACCTCAATGGAGAGACGTGGCTTTCGTGAGGGATATGGATTATGAGTTATATTTGGAAGAAGATTGGGACAAGATTGATTTTAAAGGATACTGTGAGGATATCATAATTTTATGGAATCACAGACAACAAGTACCAGCGCCCGAACCAGAGCCAGAGGAGGAGTCGGAAGAGGACCCAGAGGACGATATCGAACCAGAGTTGGAAGACCTTGAGTAGGAAATCCAACCACAAAATTTCGTTGATTTGATTGCAGATTTCGAGTCAAAGTCATGCATTACTTCGAATGATGAAATGCCATAAAATAAGATTTTTTTTTAGGACTCACGGGGATTAGGATTAAATGTTATTTATTTATTTAGGAAAAGTTTAATTGTTTAGTTGATTTTAAAGAGCACATTATTATATGTAAGGATTTGAAAATTTATATTTTTAAAATTCTTTGTTATTACAAAGATTATTAATAATATTATGTTGTTTTATTAAATATTTCTAAATTAAAATTTTATTTGTGTTAAGAAAATGTCGAGATAACAAAAAAGCCAAACTACGATCATCAAGGATTTGCTAAGGACGGTACAAGACTTAGGTAGGCAACAAGCACAGGCTGGTCCCCATGGTGCAAACGCTAACAACATTAGCTCAATTGTGGAACAGTTCTGTCGCTATAAACCCCCAACCTTCGATGGCAAGGTAGACCCACTAGCAGCCGAAGAATGGATAACAGGAATGGAGCAAATCTTCAAACATCTATTTTGCACTGATGCTCAAAAGGTGTTATGCGCAAAATTCATCTTGGTTGACGCTGCAGGGCACTGGTGGGAGTCAGCATCTCGCAATAGAACAGAAGCACAACAACGTGCTTTGACGTGGACACAATTTAAGGACGAAATAATTGGATTATACTTTCCCCAAGCTCTGAGAGATCAAAAGGAGACAGAATTCCTTCAACTTAAACAAGGAAAAATGAAGCTTGATGATTATGAGAGAAATTCGAACAACTATCAAGGCATGCACCACACCTAGTTAACACTGAAGCAAAGAAAGTAAGGAAGTTCGAACAGGGATTACGTCCTGAGATTGGTGAAATACTAGCATCCCACCAATTCACCACCTATAGCCGAGTATTGCAAACTGCTCAAACAATCTCAAATAGGTTGGAAATTGACCAAATTCCTCAACAAGGGGCTGAGTCTTCATGAAAGAGGAAATAGAATAGGTCCAATGAAGAGAAAGGAGAAGGATCGAACAAGAAGGCTAACTTTGGATCAGGTTTTGGACAAGTCTTTCCACCTTGTCCAAAGTGCAAGAAAATACATAGGGGTGAATGTCTGTATGGGAAGTATGTGTGCTATAGATACGGTAAAATCGGGTATATTTCCAAAAATTGCAAAGAGGACCTTTTGAAGAAGAATGACGAGCCAGAAAGGAAAAGAAATGCCAGAGTTTTTACTTTAGCCCAAGGACATGCCACGAAAGATCCTTACACAGGTAAATTTCGAGGATAAAATTCTCTTAAGTAGGGTAGATCGTAGCAACCCAAAAATTTTATAGATAAAAATTTATTTATTTTGTATATTATATAAATTCCTATTTACCTGGGTCAAATAAATTAGATTTTGATAGAGCAATTATAAGTATATTAATATTGTACTCGTTGGATAGCTCGCAATTAATTAGAAGTCTTTTGACTCGAGAAAAAATTATTTTGGATAAGGACACATTAAGTTAGACCCGATTGAAAGAAAATGGTATAAATGTAATTTTATATAGATTATAAATCAATTTATTTTTTCTCTCTCCAAAAAGAAAACGTGTGAGGTGGGATTTTTATCATTATTTGTTAGTTTTGATTTAAAGATTCCTAGGATGACACATGTTTTCATTATTCTACTATTCTAGTTACAACAAAATTCACTATACACCCATATACGGTTGGATAGAGATAGTGAATATCTTGTAGTTAAATAAGATAATAATAAAGTACATTGTGAGGAGACATTGGTTACATGATTTGGCCCTATCAAATTAAATTTTGGTTTATCTACTCTAGCTTACACCTATATATATATAGGCATGATGAAAAATTTTACTCACACCAATTCACACATACGGTAGGTAAAGAGAGAGAGTGAGAGGAAGAGAGAGGAGAGAGAGAGAGAGAGAAAGAGAGAGAGAGAAGGTAGCATTGGAAATAAAGTTTGCATACATTGAATATTTTAATCACGTATTTTTCAAGGCGGAGAAAAGATTTTGAACGTACTTCAGATTTGTCTAACAAGGTAAGATAATTTAAGTGCAAATATTTTTGTTTCCTTATGCGTTTATGTCCAATAAGAAATGCATAGATTGCCAGTAGACATTCGTTTTTTTAAAGAGATTTAAAATCCTAAGGGATTATAAGAGGACCTAAGATGAGCGTGTCGCTTGGTCACCGATATATTCCATAAGATCAGATGGTATGAATTGTAATTTTTATTGTTATATATATGTATATGGAAACTGCACGTATCTTACTGGGTGTTTTCGAATACTCACTCTTACAAATTTTTACAGGTCAGTTTGGGTTGATTGGAATTGTGGAAGGACGGTGATGCAGGCTGCCAAGTGGATCAAATGAAAAGAAAAATAAACGAGTTTGCCGTCTTTAAATTTAGCAATTAGTTTAATTTTGTTCCAAACGTGTTATTTGAATTAGTTAAGAGTTTATGTTATATTTAGATAAAATTTACATATTTTAAATTTAGATTTATAAATGTTACAGTTATTTGTTTAATAAAAAAATTTATTTTTATAGTTCTGCACTTAAAATAAAGAAAAATAAGTTTTTCGTAATGTTCCAGAGTTATAGAAAATTGGGGCGTTACATAAATCTCTACAAGAACAGGTAACAAAAAGAGCGTTAATGGCTTCACACCGTTGTTTCCTTTTCACAACGAAGTTTTGGGTACCCTCCACTTGGTTTGAAGCTCCATCGCCAACTTCTTCATCCTCGGGGTTATAGCTTCTTTTAGACGACAATGTTCCCTTTTCCATTTGTTGCTGACGCTCATCATGCTTAACCGGTTTTTCCATTCTTTTTCCCTTGCCCACATCATATTTTCCCCATTAATTTGATGTTCACCGGTCAGGTTGCCCCTGCTTTCTTCACTGTTTACTTGATTCCCCTTCCCTGCAAAGCTGCATCAGATTGCCGTTGGTTCATTCTTTAGAATTACTGGGTGAACATCTTCTAAACATTCACAGCGCGATTAACAATAGCAACATAACAATAAATAGAAGCAGCAGTAAAACTCTACATTTTTCTCTTGGACAAGTTTCAAGCCTGATCATGCTAAAAAATTCGAGAATTCGTGACAGATAACTCAAGAATTGTAAGAATTGGCTAGTTTTCAAGTCCATTACATCCAAAATTTGTAGTTCCCTAAGATCCAGAATTCTTAAAAAAATGGGTGTATTTTCATTTTCATCAAGACAGCCAAATGTTCTCCCAATATTTATGTCATGCATTCAGCAGAAAATGAAACCATGAATTTTGCCAATTATGAGTTAACTTAGGCAAACATTCTATCTGCAAATTATCTCATTTTTTATGGAGCATGGGGGCAAAACCAAAAGCAAAATTGAAATAGACTGAGCATTAGGCAAGTTGTACATTTGCTTTTGTTATGAAGGCTATGCATTTGTGGACATTTCGTTGGCTTTATCATTTAGTTAAGGTCCACACTTGGCACTTGCTGTGTGAATATCCCAAGAAATAAAATAAAAAGGAAAAAAAATAAATAAAAAAGTTGCATCAAATCAACTCATGGTGTGGTCCAACCAAAATTCGTTCCACCGACAGACAATCTAGTTCAAATGGAACTTTTGAAAGTCTTACAACGTAATTACAATAAATGATCTAGCCTTTTTTAATTATTGTATTTATATATTTTATTTTTTCATCGCATTCTCATCTTTAACCCTCAATTAATCAGCTCATCTCGTCTAATGACAATTTTTATCCAAATATCATGTTAGTATGATTTGAAGTGAAGAGCAAACATGTTGTCAAACCTTTGTATTTAATTTTTTTTTTTTGGCTTTTTAAAGAAAAAATTTAAGGAAAAAATAAACCTTTTTATATTTTTTGAACAAAATCATCATTGAAGAGAGACGTGTTAAATAATAAAAGATTGACAATAAAAATGCAATGGAATAAAGTTGGAGATGTAAGTGCAACAAGGTTGATAACCTTTTCTAAAATTAAAATGTATAAACATGACATTTGTAAATTGTAACTATCGATTAATATATAGCAATAAAGTAAATGTCACATTTGCTTATGAATTTGGAGTGCGTATTGTTTATGAGTAAGCACTACTTACAAAAAATCTTCGTGTCAAGTATCACACAAACAAGTAGTCTACGTCTCAATTCAATGCAAATGGTAAGCACCCTCGCCCTAGTTTTTGCTCATTTGCTTAAAAGTAACTTTTTTAAGCTTAACCCAAACACGGACTTGGAGAAAAAGCCCTATAAAGTTTTTGGAAAAATGCATCTGCTCCCTCCAGAGTCCAAAACTGACCAAATACCCCAAACCTCAAACAGAGTCCCCACGCCTCCCCACGCCACCCAACACCGGTCCCCTGAAAGAACCCTGAAAATATCTCATTCTCTCTTCTCTCTCTACAAGGGTTGTTTTGTTCAGACGATCCAAAAGACCCCGGTCCAATCCCAGGCAGGTCATTTTCTATCAATTTTCAGCTTTTGATTTTACTGCATTTTTCACAATTTTATATCAATTGAATCACTATTTTTTCACGAGGTCGGTAAACACTAAACTGCATAAGGAAGCGAAAAGTATACCTCTATGAACTAGAATTTTCATTTGAATTCGGATTTGAAAACAGCTTTAGTATAGCTGCATTCTAGCTTTTGAATCTGTGGATTAGTAACGATGGCTTTCGAATCAGAATCACAGAAGAAGAGCTACAGCTAAATGGGAGACGTTTACAGAGCCATGATAGTGCCCAAGGAGGAGCTGGAACTTCAATCTCATGCTCACGCGCTTTCACATTCGCATGTTAACAGGGAATTACATCTCGAGCTTCCATTTCGTGTACCAAATATCCAAATATTGGAGAAGCCTTTCAGGTTCCTTTTTCATGGTTTTCGAAATATTGTTTTATTGCTTTTTGCTTTTATCTGCTGAAAAAGGTTGTAGTACGTGATTATAATTTTTTTCCTTCTTGGGTGTACTTCACCGTGTTACTGTTCAACAAGTTTTTCCTACTTTACCAATTATACTTCTGCATATCCGAGTATTATCATTTTTCATTTATTTGCAACAATTGCAAAGACTGGTGATGGAAATCTTAAGAGAGATTCTTTGAATACTTGCCATAATATAGATAGTTACTTTGGCATAAAAATATAATTATTTTCGAAGTTATTTGATTGCATTTTTTAATTTCCTTTCCTTAGTTATTAGTTTTGATTGATCAGTTAATTTTCGATTCTATTACTTTGTAGCTTTCCTTGTCTACTAAAGGTTTTACCTACAAGTAAGTGCAGGGTTTTCACTGTATATATATATATATATATATATAGAAATTGATATTGATTTTCTCCTCCTAATTCTCAATTTTTCCAAATTTCTCTTCTTCTACCTTCTTC